TTTTTATTTAATACATAAACATTTCATAGATTTTCAATATGATTAAACGAATTTACGCTATTGTCTAACAAATTTATATTACGGTCCACGTTTGATATTTTTTTCCTTTAAGGGTGTGTTTGTTTGGGGTATTGGATTTAATTTCCATTATTCATCCTATTTTTTCCCCTAAAAAATATCAAATCAAACATCTATTTTTCATTTTTTATATTATACTAAAAATCAATTTTACATTCAAAACATCACATCAACACCTATTTATATCATATCATACAACTATTTAAATTCAAAATTTTTACTATTCAAATCCCAACTCAAAATTCAAACCCCAATCCTTATAAATTTCTCATATCATTTACTAAGTTGTATATACCATTTAATACAAGAATTTTAAACCAAATTAAAAATATAATCCATCCATACCACTTTCAAAATAATATTAATGACGTAGTACGCAGAAACCAGGTATATATTTAAATATATATTGAAAGTATTTTGAAATTTTAAAAATAAGCTTATAATAAAAATTAAAAAAAAAAAACTAGATATTTGCAATAATGTAAATAAGTGGTCATATATAAAAGAAAACATATATATACCTTTTTTAAAAAAAATACTCCCTCCATCGCACTTCTCACGTCCATCTTTCTATTTCCGTCCGTCTCACTTATTTTGTCACATTTCTTTTTTTGAAAAAGAATTATACACTTTAATCTTATTTTAAAAAATTTAATTTATAAATTTTTTAATTTTAATTATACTAATCAGTTATATTAATCTTAATCTATAATTATTTTTATTATACGATAATTATTTTATTTAATACATTTTTAATTATTTACTAATTATACCACTTCTAAATTCTTGTGTCTACAGTAAACCGGAAGAAATATCCGGGACGGAGGGAGTATAAGATTGTTGAATGGTTACCGTTGAACATGGGTCAAAAAGCACCCGAATATGAAGGAGGCTTGAAGACAAAAGCAGAGTCGGAGCTTCCAGGCCACGGAGCCCACCACCAACAATGGAGCTTCATGTCACGGAGCCAAAGACTATTACTTCCACAGAGCCGAAAACAACAATCTCCATTGGACTGTGATGCCTCCACAAAGCAAATGATTGTTGTCTCCACAGGGCCGAAAGCACCAACCTCCACGGACCTGGCACCAACCTCCATTAACTTTGGGGTAATAACTCCTTGGACTATGAGGCCTCCATCTCGGAATAATGCTTTCATAAGGTCATAAATTGTTGCCTCTATTGTGTTGAAAACAACTGCCTCCATTGGATTGCGGTGTTTCCACAAAGTAGAGGAAGGATGCCTCCACAAAACATAAAGCCACTTTGAGCACGGATAATTCACCTCTATACGAAAAAGAAGCTGCAGGGGCAGAGGATGTGAAGGCTCCAGCCGAAAAGGAGCCTGCGGAAGTAGAGACTCCAGAAGCCATGGAAGCTCCAGAGTTTGCGGAGGCAGGGACTCCAGAGACCATGGAGGATCCAAAACAAAAATGAAGCTACAAGTGCAGAGGCTCCATATGAAAAGGAGTCTGCAAGAACACAGTCTCCAGAGACCATGGAAGCTCCATATAAAGGAGGCTGTAGGGGCAGAGACTCCAGAGGTTATAGAGGTTCCACTCGAAAAAAAAAAAAACATGCAGGGGGCAGAAGCCTTAGCGACTTCTGACGAAAAAGGCTTTGTGGCGGCAGAAGCTTTAGCCACAAAATTAGCAAATGGAAAGATTTATTTGTGTCCGGCATTGGCGCTGACCAAAGGGTTTATTCATACTGCTAATACCGTGTCGGCTAAAGAGCCTATGAAAGACGAGCTTGGCACCCAGCCGTCAAAACCTTCGCTTCACGACTTCTAGGACCGAAGGCAGCAGCTAAGAAAACCGTCTTCACAAGAATGACATTTGGGAAATGCTGAAGTTTGAACATGGAGGAGGCAAGACCAAAGACGGTCTAGAAAAAGCCTAATGTCGGTGTCACCATCCCAAGTCTAAAAGCCTCAGGATCGGAAAAGAAGAAACTATAGAAAGAACCCAAGCCGGAGGCCATCGTAGCATAAGTGAAAGTCACAAATGGAAAATGGATTTGGACTATTACCACGGCTAGCCAAATCACCATCATTCCCAAGGCGACACGGAAACCCCCTATCGTGAAAGAGAATGAAAAATAGATTGTGAATGAGCCGAACCTTTCCGCTAGAGGGGCAATAAGAGGACTAAAAAAAGGTGAGCTCAAAGAAGAAAGTTGCAAGCTCGTATGGAGAAGAAAATGTCACATGAGCCGTTTCCGAAAGAAAATCAGATGGAGGAGTCGCCTAAAAAAAAAAGCAGACTATGGAGCAACTTTCAGAGAGAAAGCAGGCTGTGGAGCCGTTTCAAGAAAGAAAGCAGATAGTGGAACTGCTAAGCAAGCCGTGGAGCCGCTTTCAGAAAGGAAGCACGTTGTGGAACCGATTTCATAAAGAAAGCATGCTATGGAGCCACTTTCAGAAAGAAACGGACTGTGGAGCTGCTAAGGAAGCAGGTTGTGGAGCTGCTTTCAGAAAGAAAGCAAGCTGTGGAGCCGCTTCTAGAAAGTAAACAGGTTGTGGAACCGCTAAGGACACAGGCTGTGGAGCCGCTTCTAAAAAGAGAGCAAATGGGGGAGCTTTTTCTAATAAAAAAGCAAACGAATAAGCCCCTTCAAAGAGGAAAGCGGATGGAGGAGTCTTTTCCAAAAATGAAGCAAGTGGAGGAGCCTCTGGAACAATTCAAAGCTCTGGAAGAATTCAAGAGTTATAGAAAGTTGTCGTTGACGAATAGCCTATCTTCGAATGGAATGATGTGGTAACCATGATAGAATTTAAGAGGCTCGGGCCTGGCCAAAACCAACATGTCAAGCCTTTGCGCATTCGGGCCTCGATGAATGGCCATCCGCTTGACCAAGTTCTGATGGAGAGTGGAGCTTTTATGAATGTGTTGCTAATTGAGACCCTATGAAAGTTCAAAAAGACTAGTGACAATTTGATTTCTATATTTGTACGACTTACCGATTTTATGGAAAATTCTTACAAACCGGCAGGTGTGATCACTTTGGACGTGCAGGTGGGGACAAAGAAAATACCATCCAACTTTCATGATGATTGATAGTAAGCCATTCTATTCGGCTCTCTTGAGACGAAATTGGATTCATGCATGTGAGTGCGTGCCTTCGACACTCCATAAAAAATTGATGTCTTGGGATGGAAATGAAGTCCAAGAAATGAAGGCCGAGAATGATCCCTTGTCGACGGAAGTTATCACAGTTGATGCAAGCGAACAACTCGGAGCAAAAGGACATGAGCTCAATGAAAGCAATCGCCCAGCCCTTTTGAGGAGGGCATTGTTGGACATGAGTCCAAAAGCACCCGAATATGAAGAAGGCTCGAAGAAAAAAGCAGAGCCGGAGTTCCCAGGCCACGGAGCCATCCAACAACAATGGAGCTTCATGCCACGGAGCCAAAGACTGCTCCCTCCATAGAACCGAATGGAACAATCTCCATTGGACTGTGATGCCTCCACAAAGCAAATGATTGCTGTCTCCACAGGGCCGAAAGCAACAACCTCTATGGACCCTGGGGCAGCAACCTCCATTACCCTTGGGGCAACAACCCCTTGGACTATGGAGCCTCCATCCCGGAACAATGTTTTCATAAAGTCAAAAATTGCTGCCTCTATTGGGTTGGAAACAACTGCCTCCATTGGACTGCGGTGCTTCCACAAAATAGATGAAGGTTGCCTCCACAAGACAGAAAGCAACAACTTCCACATATCATGGGATAACCACCTCCATTCGCCCTGAGTTAATAATTTCGTACTGAACATTAGTGGAAGACCTATGCACTTTCATATTTTATTCAGAAAACTCCATGAAACAAGGCAACAAGACGAAAACCGAAGACTCCATGCTACTCAAGGCTGTTGGAAACAAAACCCCGTAGACCGGCTAGAGATGTGATTGAGGCAATTTGGGGTAAGCTGCAGATCGATTCAAGGGCAATGGAAAAGTTCAAAATGAGTGGGGAGCCGGTTCACATGTAATGGAGGTGGTTCAAAGCAAATCCAACGGTTGAAAGCTGATTGAGGGAGATTACCAGGCGATTGGAGGTAATGAAAGGAATAACTAAAACTACCTTTTTAGTAGAAGAGGTAATTATTTGATATTATGAATAAAACTAGTGAAAATACCATAGACACATATGACAAGAACACAAATCTTATCCTTAGTCTTTTTTATCCTTTTATTTCTAGTTTATCCATAGATTTTAGGAGATTCCGAATTTCTTGCTAATTTATGTTTTCAACATGTTTTTATCCGTTTTTCAGTAGATTAATCTTAAATTTAGTAGATTTTAGTTTAAATCCATCGAAGCTTCATTTAGGCTCGAAGCTGTGCAAGCTCTAGCGTCAGAGCCGCCTCAAAATCCTACGAAATGATAGGTTCTTTGGAGTACTTTCGGAACCCACACCAATAGAATTGACGAACGGTCTTAAAGCCTCTAAATTTGAAGTAGTATTATCCCCAGCAAAATTTAGATATCTCCACTGTTTTTTGTCCTCCACGTCACTTTTTCTCTACCACGTCGGTGCTACTTTCTTTTATTTTATACTCACAACAAAGATATTCATTCTATTTTTCTAATTAAATATACATTACTTATATTTTTATTTTGTGATTAATTATTATTTAATATAACATCATATTATTTAATTGTGTTAAAATTTATATTTATATTTTATTCAATAAATTGAATTAATTTTTTGTTAATATTTATTTGAATAATAAAATTAAATAATATTTATTTATATATTTTAAATTTTAAATTAATATTCTATATTTATATCATTTTATAAAATATAAAATTTAATAAATTATAAAATTATTGCAAAATTAAAATAAAATAACATACTTAAACTAAATTACAAAAATCATAAAACATCTCTCAGGCATCTACGTGAAGATACCTGACAGGAAAAATCACCTTTTTATTTTTTATTTTTTAAATTCTGATGTGGCGGTCGAGATATTATTGCCGTTGGTCTTACACGCGCTCCCAAAGTTCCGAACATAACGAGCAATACAAGATCAAACAAATGACTGTCCCACAATCCAAACCTTAAAATCCCCAAACCTTAAAAGAATGAAATTAATCGAATCAATAAAACCTTAATGTCATGATCATCATCAACCTCGTTTTCCCTTCGGACGAGGATTAAACACACTGCATTTCTTCCTTATCTCCCCAGCATTTCCAACAAGAACCTGGATTTTGCTCATCTTGATCATAGCCCTCTCGAAAATCTGATTAAACGCAGTCCGATTCGAGGCGAAAATCGAAACAATCCGAGCCGTCGATGGATCCAGGGCGAGTTCTTGATCGATCTTCAAGATCGCTCTCCTCGATCGAATCTGACCGTAGAACTGATTGTCGAAAACCGATCCCGTACCCTGGTCGAGGAACACGGTCGGATCTCTATTCAACGGCCTGGATTGCGTCCCGCACCTCTTCAGGAGCGTCTCCGCCAGCCTTGGGTCCATCGTCGGGTCGGGTCGACCCGTGCCCTGAAAATCCGAGATCCGGTCCTGGAAAAACGCACAATGCGATACTCCGACCGAGTGGCCGCCGAAAAGGGCGACCATGTCGACAAGTGTGAATCCTTTGGGCCCGAAAAATGCGAAGGCCTCGGGGACGGTTAGGGCCGGGCTGGGCAGGTTTACGTCTTCAACGTTGGAGACGAGCCCGTCACGCCGGCCCGTTGGGACTTTGTAGTGGGGCCCACCGGATAGGGCCACTGCATCGCGCGTGGCTAATGTGATTATGTCGGCGCAGGAGACGGTGGCGGGACACACCGCCTCGAGCTGCGCTTTGGCGGCGTCGATGAGGTCGTAGTTTCGGACGGTCTCGTTTGGACCGGCGTCCTTTTCAGCGGACTTTGTCCTCGTCGAGTTTACGAGTATCGATGCATCGCAGCCCTATAGTTATATTCGGAAATGATTGTGAATGACAAATATGTTTAAGCGAGATTTTTGGAGAGATTTAAAATTTTGCAAATTTGAAGAAAAAAAGGTAAAAAATTAATATTAGTTTTGATATTTTATAAGAGAAAATATATATTTGATGCAATATGTTTTAAAAAATTGAATAGTACCAAATTACTAAAAGTGATTTGTAGAGTTTTATATAAATGTTTATAGAGTGTTTTGCATTATTGATTAATATTAATAAATTTTTTAAAAAATATCAGTAAGACATATTTTTTCTATCTTAAAATATCATATCAAATAGTTATTTTTTGTTATTTTTTAATTTTTCTTTTTTTTTTTTTAATTTTAGATCTTCTAGAATTTTTATTTGAACCAATCCTAATATTTCTTATACTTACGGAAATATTTTTTTGGACGGAGAGAGTAATATATTTATGGTGCATTTACTTTGAACAATGATATTATAATTTAAAGTATTATTTCAATAAATTATATAATTATAAAATTAATTAATATGATACTAGTGTAGCGGATTTATCAATATTAGATTTTAATCACTTATAATAAATATATGATTAAATAGGACAAAATAATATTATCGACAAAGTAAAACATCCTTACCACATAAAGACTATATAGTACACACATTCTAAATAGAATGTTCTTATTTTATATCTATACAGTAGTTGTTGAATGTAATATTTTACGAGACTAAATAGCATATTTTAATAAAAAAAAAACATTAGAATTATATAATAAATAAATTTAAAATATAAATATATATATATATGTGTACATGTATTAAAGAAAACAAACCCCAAGACTCGGAGCACATATTGAAACTCAAGTAAATTTTCACGACGAATTTTTTCACTAACTTGTTCTAATTAAAACTATAGCGCGAAAAATGACAATTTTACCCTGACAAAGCAGTCGTGAAAATGCATTCGAAGCAATGCCGGTGTAACGGAAGGGTCGTTTCTGAATCTTAATCGGACAACTCGCTCGATTATCGACTCAGCTTGAGGACACGAGGAGTTGTAAAACCCGATTTTGAGTTGAGCATTAGCTCCATGGAGAAGAAGGCAGAAGGCCAAAATGAAGAATAGATTTTTGTCCATAATTTGTAGTTAGGACACAAATAATTTTAGGAGGGAATATATAAGAAGTAAAAATAGGACTTATAATATATATATATATTTTGATCGATAGTCATAATAGCAAAGAACGTGCGTGCAAGTGTGGGATAACATTATATGGCATTATGCGCTACCATAATCGTATTAGTCTCTTACAAATATTATTTTAAAATAAAAAAAAATATAATTATTACATCTCACAAATGACTCACACACATATATATATATATATATATGATTATTAAACTTAAAAAGTGGGATATCTGGCATGCATAATGTGTAAAGGTGTGTTTGTTTTCCCTTAAAAAAAATATCATTTTTGTAACGAAGTTTTTTTATCTCTAAATCTATTTTTTCCGTTACTAATGACATTAGAGACGGAATTAGGGATGAAATTATGTTAGCTACGTACACTTTAGGAACGGAATTCCGTTACAAGTATACGATTTTTTTGTAGTGTTTGTTTTTTGAGTTTGAAATATTTTTATGTTAAAAATGAAAAATATTTTTGTGTTAGATATGAAAAATATGAATTTTTTATTTTTTATTTTTTTTTCCTAATGAATGGAATATAAATCGATATGCAAGTGTTGGAATGAATATATATATATATATATATATATATGGTTTATCGACATTAATTTATTTGGGGTTTGTTAATTTGTTCGTTTGATCAATTTTGTCTCACACTATTTTTAATATACATAATATATATTTTTTATTCTCTCGTAAAAAAAAATATTATTTAATAATAAAAAATATATTCATTTTTATTTACAATAAAATCTTTCATAAAAAAAATATGAGAACTAAATTACTAAACAAACACACATTTGTTTTCTTTATTATTATTATATAGGTAAAAGAAATTAATTATGATATTTAGTAAATAAGCTTTTTGAAACAATTCATTGAATTGTAAAAAATTAATTTCTGAAAATTCATCTTACCCAAAATTTCATAATAATGTTTTCACTTTAATTATATTTATTCCATATTATTATATTCCTTAGATACTAACAATTTTTCTTACACATATTTTTATTTATCATTTTAATATATTTGTATTTTTGGTAGTTATAATTTTATTTTTTAAATTTAAAGTAATTGAAATTATTAATTATTATATATATATATCTGTAAAATATATTAGTTTATTAAATTAAGGGAAAAATATAAATATTATTAATTTATTTATAATATAAATTTTATATCAAAATAAATAAAATAGAATAATTTTTTTGAAAATTATAATAATAAATAAATTAATAATTAAAATAATCAAAATAGGTTTATTAAAATTTCGTTTTTCATATTTTATATTATTTTCAATACAAAATTTTGTTTTTTTCTTTTAGTAAAAATATACTTCATTCATCCTACAAGAATGATACCATTTTTTATTTTTGTCCGTCCAAAAAAAGAAATATTATTTTCTAATTTAGTAATTGTACTACCTACCTAAGATAATTAATACTCTTTCAACTTCTAATATATTATACAAAATCATTACTTTTATATCATACAATCTAATAGGGCATTTTTGTCATTTTTACTATAAATAAATATAATACTAATATTAAAAAATTTACTTGCACAAAACAAATGTTACTTTTTTTGCGTTACAAAGATAGTATTATTCTTTTACAAAAGTATTTAAAAATGGAAAAAATATATATTAATAGTACTTTCATAATTTTCGATAATCAATAGTAAATATTATCAAAAATTCTAAACTCAAATATTTTAGTTGAACATTTTAAAATATAATATAAATGTTACTCTTTTTTGCGTTTTACTAAATTACTGTTTGTTTTCTGAACAGTAATTAAGCAGTTTGACAAAGTTCACGCGTATTTAACTACCATGAACTACCTAAAATCTGTTAATAAAAATACAATGCAAATTTAGACTTAGATAATCCATTCTTTTGAACAACTTCCGCAACTTGTCAAGATTTCATACTTAAACAATCAAATATAAACTTAAATTTATGGATGAAGATATATATATATATATGTGGAGAAATCATGATATTCAATTAATAACTACGAAAAACAGTGAATCTACATTATGAAAACAATAAAGAAAAGCTATAACAAAACTGTAATTCTACCTACATAAAGCATTAATAGGACGGTCAAGGGAGAAGAAAATCTCCACTCCCTCTACTTTCACTAACTAATAGAACTCCTTTACATAATTGGAGCTCTCGGAAATTGAATAGAGTAAAAGCAATATGAGCAAATTTTATGTAGTATTTTTTACAAATAAATTTAGCCCTATTTATAAATTTTATGGATCGGAACTTGACAGTAGTTAAGCGATTGCAAAGTAACAGTTGAGAGTAGTTAGAAACTGTTGCAACCGCTGGGCAATTAGGGCGTTGATAAGTTGAAACTGCCCTAACTCCCAGCTTGTTCACTTGCCTTGGCTGACATTGTAGGGGTATAGATCTTTCTCGCTTGCCTGACTTGGCTGGCTTGGTTTGAGGGCATCGAAACAACTCAAATAGTGTTGTTGTCGTTAGCCGGTATTTGAATGGCTAACCGCTGGGATATTTAACACTTAAGCAAATTTGGGTACCTTAGGATCTCGCTTGTCAGTGGTGGATGTCTTTCTGCTTGCTCGGGCGCAGGTGGAAAGAGAATTTCTTGCCACAATGGGCTCACCCTCACTTGTCTTCAATACTTAAGCCATTTTCTGTGCCAGAAGATCGCTTAAAAAAGCTAAATACATCAATAATCTCCACAAAAGAGCTTTGAATCATATCAAGTGAAACTAATCAAAAAAATATATTATAAATCATATTGTTGATGTCGATTTTCAACAATAAAAAGTAAAATTCAAAAATAGAAATTATCTTCGAATTTGACAAAATAAATGTCTGAGATTAAGCATCTCTAGACACCGTACAATGCATAAGAAAAATAGAAAAGAAATACTAAAGACTGTAAAAGTAAAAGGATGATCCCCAAAAGAAATTCACTGATAGTGATGTCAATTGAAGATCCTTGCTTAGGTCGTGAGAAGACCTATTTAAAACCTCATGTCAACCGCCGCATCTAGGTCGTGGCTCCATATCCGCTCGCTAGTTATAACTTCCTCCAACCGTCTTAGAACTGCTTTTCACCCGACCTGCATATCTACTACTATGCCTTCCCTTGCCCGCTTTCCACTGGCCCGACCTCTGTATTGGTTTTTCTTCACACGACTTCCTTTTGTCCGACCTCTATGCCAACCGACCGAAATACCTACCATCTCCCTTGTCAGACCTCTGTATTCACCGATCTCATAGGTTTCTCCCAAAAACCTATTTCTTAATATCGTTTGGGCCCATTTTAGGGTCTTACTGCCATTAAGAGGCCCATTGACCTATATACCATTCCGCAGCACAATTTATAGGCTCATTCTCGAAAGCTCTACACATTGATTTTTTCGTACTCAACACATATATTGTAATGGTTTTCAATTGTACTATTATTTGAAGTTACAACTTCTCTTGTATGTTGTGTGTTCAATGGTTAGTTCTTATAACAAGTTCATGCCATGGAATCAAAAGATGACATCTTTTTTGTGATTGTTAAGAAGAGGTGTGTTGGGTAATATATATACCGGTAGTAGATAGAGTGTTAAGTTGTCCTAATCAATACATATTAATAAAATAAGTAGTACTTGTCATAATTAGTCTCAAAGCAAGATTGTACCTTAATATAATAAAAATGCTTAAAGTACATAGTCTACACAACATTCGTTATACTCCCTCCGTCTATAATGCTCTCTTCGCCCCACTGCAATTGAAACTTTTGATTAAAAATACCGTATTTAAAATAAGAATATTTAATTAGTTAATAATAATGAGTTATTATATTATTATATTTTTTTATGTACTTAATAATATTTATAATTTTAAAGTAAATTTAATATATATGATTAAAAAAATTAAAAAATATGTTTAAATATTTAAAAATTACATAGCAATTAAAAAATATATGGCAATATGGATATCATTTTGTAGAGAATAAAATTTTATATAATACAACTAAATTAAAAGATAATTTTTGTTTGTTTATAATTAACATAAATCAATTTTATAAAAGATGTGTAGTTTTAAATATAAATAAAAATATATATTTTTTTTAAGAGAGATAGAAGTAAATGGATTTTGATTTTGTATGTTTTGTAGTTAATTAAGTTGATTTATGATGTTGTATGTTATATAGTTAATTAAATTGATTTATATTTGTTAAATATATATTTTTTTAATAATTTTTATCAAAAATAGAAAAGTGTCAATTATTACGAGACAAATCAAAATAGAAATAGTGTCAATTGTAATGGGCTAAAACCCCTGCTCACACCTCCTATTTGTTTTATTACTATTTTAAAAAATATTTTATGTCAATATATAGTATAAAAAATAATTAAAATAAATACTAAAAATTAAGGTTTGTTTGATTTTGATTTCAAATCAAAATTATTAGTATTAATTTTTTTGAAAAAAATTAATGAAATATATTATTTTATCTTCTAAATTACTATATAATACTAAAATACACTTTAAACAAAAATAAATAAATAAAAAACTACAATTTAAATTAAAACAAAACAAAACAAAACAAAAAAACCTTAGAAGTGAGACAATTTTAATAATTTTCTATAAAGTACAAATTTTCTTTTATAGTATTATTTGTCGATTTCAAACAATACTAAAGTAAATATACGGAATATATAGTGCTTCTATAATTTGTTATTTATCAATAAATTTAAAGGTGAGTATTAAAATGTTAGAATAATATTATATATTGTATTTCAACAGCAATCATATTATATTATTACAATGTGTTGAATGAGCCCTAGTCAACACCGTAATCGTGTTTTTATATATAAGAACATAAATTTATTATATTCAGATAATTTTATTCTTTGAATTGCTATATTTTCAAAACACGAATATATAAAATGTATTATTTTAAAATTTTGAAAAATTAATTTCTCCTTTATGTGGTTTTGGTTTCACCACGGGATGTATTGATTAACCTTACTCAACACGTTAACCAATATATGTTGATTGTATGAATTGACATGGCTAAACAAAAATAATTTTTCGAACGTTGAATATCATTTTGTTAATAAAATGAAAATTGAATATGAAGATAGACAATTATATATTTATAGGTTCATAAATCCTAACGTTCAAAAAAAAATAAATTCAAAATAAGAAAATTTGTAGAAAAAAAATAAAAATTAAAGATAATGCCGTAAAATAAAAATAAGTTATTTTAATACCGTAAATGACCTCAAATGATCAAAAAAACATATTTCCATGTTGAATGAACGGAACAATTTTATCCAATTCTAAATAAAAACACAAAAAGACAAAATTTAGGCAAATTGCATAACTACTAACCATTCTCTATATACATATCATTCAAAAATATCAAATGCACTATCTTATTAATTTTCATTTAAACATAAAATAATCCAAGTATAAAAAAAAAATAATAATAAAAAATCTTCCAAAAATACAAGAAAACACACTCAAACAACCAATGCCGATTATTTTCAATGAAATTTAATTTCTTGGACATTTTTTCCAATAGAAAGAAAATGTGTAGAAATTCATCAGTATATATATATGTTTTTTTTTTTTTTTTCTCATTTTCCTTGTACACAAACTCAAAACCCTAAAAAAGTCATTTACATTGTCTCTTGCCAAAATTTCGAGTACGAACCAACTTCCTCAACAAAATCCTCAATCTCCTCGACCCACCCCCAACCCTCAACACTCCATAATTCTCACCATACAATTCACTACACTTATTACCACCATCATCCTTCGAACACCACCCACCCCATGAAAATTGCCTGCTTCCTCTCTTCAGAAGCTCGCGATCGATCCTATTAAGCACGGGGTCATTTTTCTTGAATTTTCTCGCAAAGGGTCTATTACTAAGGACCATTTTCCGGTAATCTTTGAGGCCGAGCGATCGAGGGTGTTGCTTTGGAGGAACATCCCACGATATGTAGTGGAGATCGTGATTAATTGTGGTGTTCTTCCAATGGTCGGAGTTGCAGAGAATCGTTTGGAAGTATCCCTCCGGCGACGAGACAAAGTTGGTGTAGTAGAGGAGAAGGGTTCGGGGGAGGTTGTCCCATCCCATGATGACGAACTCCGCGAAGGATCTTGATAGGATTGTCCATGCTGAACCTGGAATTGTTGTTTATATTAGCATGATCATATGTTTTCATTTAGATTAATTCATATAAAATAAAATTTACAAGAAGAAGAAGAAGATTGAAATTATTGAAAAATTAATATTCCCTTCGTCCGGCTCTAAGGATCTCATTTACTTTTTGCGTCATTGTACTTAACATTAAAAATATCTTTATATTTGTATAATTTTTTTGCACAAATATCATTATAATAATATTATAAGTAACTAATAAAAGTATTTTTATCATTTTCTTTTAATTTGTATTATATCTTTATATAATAATTAATATTTAAAGATTAATAGGCAAAAAGTAAATGAGACACTTCGAGCCGGACAAATGTAGTATTTTGTTTATGATTAAGTTAGATTACATGGTCACTTAAACAAAATATTTATATTGACGGTAGTGAAGAAGTAAATACAGTTAAGAACGATGTGATTAGCAAATAATTAAAAATTTATCAATAAAAATAATTATATTATGAGATAAATAATTATAAATTAAAATAGTATAATTAATTAGTTTAGTTAAAATTAAAAATTAGAAATTAGAAAATTTAAATGTGATTAAAGTATCTAATAGTGTCATGGGATGTGAAATATATAGAAACCGTAACGTGGATACGAAATTGAGATAGATTAAAATATTTTCTATCACTACTAGAAAAAAAAAATAAAAATAAAAATAATCTAATTATTGTGTAAATTTATCACATATTTAAATTATGTTATAAGTAAAAGTAAAGGATGGTTGGTCTTCTCTAGTGTGGTTGAGTTTTTTGAGTAATAGACACTACAAGAAAATATCAATTTTGTAACGAACGTTTTTTCGTTTCTAAATTCAATTTTTCCATTACTAATGCTATTAGTGACGGAATTGGGGATAAAATTACGTTAACTACGTAAACTTTAGGAACGAAATTCCGTTACTGTTGATGTAATTTTTCAACAAAAATAAAGTAAAATTCAAAGATATAGAAAATATCCTTAAACTTGATTAATTAGTGCCTGAGATTAGGAATCTCTAAACACTGTACGGTACAGAAAATAAACTGGAAAATAAAAGACTGAAATTTAAAGTGGTGATCCCCAAATCTGACTTTGCTTTGTTGAAGTTGATTGAAGATGCCTTGCCAAATGATTATCCAAGCCTTTAAATATTCTCTGGGAAACCGTACTGAAAACCGTCACCCGAACGGTTACAACGTCTCCATTTCAACCGCCTTCCAACCCTTCTCCTGCTGGCACGCGTCCTCAGCAGACCAAAATTATCCCTATATTTCACTCTTTGAGCCGACTACAGACCTTCCGCCCTTTTGGCCCGACTTCGTCCTTCGCCCGACCTGCTTCTTCGCCCGACCTCACTTGGGCCAACCTCATCAGCCGCCCTCCGTCTTTGACCGAAGACCTCCGCGTCTGTCCGTACCTCTTCCTTGCCCGACCTTCCTCTTTACAGACCTCCGCGTCTGCCCGACTTCACCTTCTATCCGATCTACGGTTTACCCGACCTGCAGACTTCCCATCCTGATGACTTTCCGTCTTGAGGACCTCCCGACCTGAAGACCTTCCGTCCTGAGGTCTTTCCGTCCTGAGGACTTCCCGTCTTGAGAGCCCCCCGACTTGAAGACCTTCCGACCTGAGGTCTTTCCGTCTTGAGGACCTCCCGACCTGAAAACCTTTCGACTTGAGGTCTTTCCGTCTTGAGGACCTACCGACCTGAAGACCTTCCGACTTGAGGTCTTTCCGTCTTGAGGACCTTCCGACCTGAAGACCTTCCGACTTGAGGTCTTTCCGTCTTGAGGACCTTCCGACCTGAAGTCTTTCCGTCTTGAGGACCTACCGACCTGAAGACCTTCCGACTTGAGGTCTTTCCGTCTTGAGGACCTTCCGACTTGAGGTAAACCTATTTTCCTTGATTTCCTCATGGTGTCCTTCAGCCAATTCAATCAACTCTATTGCCAGGCCCATTCTTCTTTTTACCTTGGGCTTTTAACCTAATTCTAAATTCCGTACGTAACAACTTGCCCGCCGCCAAGGGACTTTCAAACGCCATTTAACAATCAATGTTTGGAAGTTCATAAATCACTACCTTCTCGAAAAATTCTCTTAGCAACTGCACCAGTTACTGCAACACTCCTGATTAACTTCCTTCTCCGCAATACAAGCTTTTGTGAATCACAATCCCAAAACACTCTAACTATGGCGAATCAATACCTTCCTGCTCTTCCTTTCGACGGAACTCTCCCAGATGGCCCATTTTCAGCCTCGAAAGTACTAACTCCGACGATCCGCCCATATTGCACTACTCCTGAAGACGCAAATCGGATGAGGGAAGTTTTGGAATCCCGAAATTCCTTAGCCATCAACAACCCTAACTACCAAGCAGTTCGCACTCGAGACAGCATCAAAACCCATCTCACAGACCCAAAAGATCCTTACCGCGCTTGGTATCGACGGGTAGCAGAACACTTCCAGACCCAATGGCGATCTCAAAAAATCGACCAAGCAATACTACTGTCCACCATGCCTATCAACCTGCATGAGAAGGTGCTCTTGGCCATGTCTGCCTTCTGGAATGCGGAAAATGGGACTTTCCTCTCACCATCGGGCCCCTTTGGTCCAACTCTTATGGATGTGGCAATGATCGCGCATCTCCCAGTCGTGGGTGAAGACCCTGTAATGGGAGCCCTAGATGGGCAGGAGCCATCAGAAGACCATCCAGGATGGCCTTTACAAGGTGTGAAGGAATGGGGTTGGACAAAGTTCGCAACCGACCAGCAAGGGGCTCCAGGGACCCCTGTGACCGACCGGGAGCATACTGCCTTTATCCTTTTTTGGCTTTGTAGGTACGTAATTGTTTCCCCTTCCAAATGTGTTCTTTCTTCGCATTTTGACCTGGCCATTCATATCGCGTCAGGTCGGTTCTTCTCCCTTGGCACCCTGTTTTTAGCCAATCTGTTTGAAGGACTCACCAGGGTTAGCCTTCGTTTAACAGATAACGATAATAGAAAATTAGACACTGCCGCGTCGGGTCCTTTTTGGTTTTTAGAACTTTGGTTCCGTCTTTACTTCCCCAACGCTTTTAACTTAGGATCTCCGCCCACTATGCCAACATCTGAAAAACATTTGGGATTAGCCCTCAACCGACTCTGCTCAGGACGCAATAAACTCCAATCTTCCGATCCAATAATAACCGCAATTTTAACAGATACCCGCAATAACTCTCGATTTTCTATGTATAAAAAATATGCGGGTTATGCTCCCGACCATTTTTGGCCTTTTCCAGCACCAAATCCTCTTCCGACTCCTGAGCCTTGTCCTCATCCCACCTATTCTTTTGCCTGGGACGTTGCCCTCAAACCCAGGTCTCTTTTTAGTAGCAAAAAACTTGATAAAAAGGGGCAGAAAACCTTTTACACTTTTAATTATGAACCTCAATTAAACTGCCAAGGTATCCCTGGACCCGTCGCGTGTCCGCATATAATTTTTCAAAGCCCTGACCGACGAGTCCTACCGAATTCAATCCCTTCTTATATCGCCCAGTTCACCACGTATATAATTTCCAATTCTTATATTCCTTTTCGCTCCAACCCTGAGACTGTAGAAACATTCAATGAATGGTGGTCGGTTGTATGGCCCCTGATTTCCCCTGATGAGGGTCGGTTGTTGAACATACTCCTTCCCCCCCCAAGGATTGGTTCTAGGGGCGGCTAGACACACTAGCACCCAGCCACAAACAGCCGCCCCGGGGACCGGATCTAGTGTTCCAATACGAAAAAGGAAAGCTTCCCAGCTGCAAACACCCCCGACCTCTGGGGCCGACCAGCAAGCGCAAGCGGACCTTGGAACTACTAGGACGTCAGCAAGGACCCGACCCCGAATTGGTAATTTTTCTTAACACCGTGAACCAATTCACTATATCGTAACTTTGATTTTACTCATTTCATTCACCAGAACCGACCTTGGTGACACCGACCACACAACCGACGCCACTCCCAGCCGACCATTCAACCGGACCTTTAGTCCAGACCAATTTGCCAATGAGCAGTCGGGCGGAGGACCCGACGAGGAGGCAAACTCTTCCTCCCGTACCGAGGAGTGGTCGGGTCAGGCACCCGGCCAGGAGGCAATCTCTACCAGCAGTGCCTATAGAACCAGTAAGTTCTCTCATCAGCAATACTTAGGATTCTAATGACCAACTTTGATATATTTAACAACAACATTGCCATGATTTCACAGACACCTTCACCCATCGAATCAGCAGCAGGGGTCTCTTCGGACAGTGAGGGGACAACTTCCCAGATGGGTCAACCGCCATACATGGCATCAGACTCATCCATTTCGAAGGAAGGACCAACTGCCCTCGCCGAAGCTGACCCTCAAAACAACATCCTTGATGTTGCTGATCCCGAAATCGAAGGTGTCCCAGAGATCCCGGCTGCAGTGGCTCTAGATGCAGCCGCCCAACCTGCAGCCGCCCAACCTGCAGCGGCGCTCCATCTAGCCATTGAGTGGCAGGCAGAAGAACCACCTGCGGCAGCCCAACCTCCAGAAATGGAAGAAATGTCTTCGTCCGAATCAGAGACTTCTGTGAATTTGGTAAGATTAAACCAATTCATACCACAATGTTTCTTTTAGAAAACACTAACTGTTTTATATACCACTTTCCATAGGGACCCAGGTCGGCACCTCAGCGACCATTCGCAGCAGCCGACGAGTCGGCTGCTGTTATACCAGCTGTCTGCCCTACTCAACCGACCTCATTGCTGCCCCCCTCACTGACAGCAGTCCGCCCAGAGGTGACATATATCTTATAAGAATAAATTTGCACCTCTCTTGGAATACTTATTGACATTGTAGGACTTGCAGGGGCCTTCGGACTTAGCTGTCCTATCGACTGTTCCGGTTCCGGCGGAGGCCCGAACTATATTCACTGAGGCCATTAACCATCCCCTGTCAGAATTGAGATCCGACTTACTGGACAAACTCATTC